GGAGGGGGTGAAGGGAGGGCAAGGGAAGGGGAAAAAAAATAAGAACCAAGAGACTCATGTAATGGTACAAGATCCCAATGATGAATGTAACTGTATTTTAAACCTAAAATGTACCAATAAAGTTAATGGGGAAAAAACAATTAAAAAAAAAAAGAACCATATACCCTTTGCCCTAATCAATTAAACTAAATTATTTTATTTAAATACTTTACCTAAAAATTTCATTGTCTAAATACAACATGGTCAAAGAATTAGACTTTAAGGGCTAGAAGAAACTTCACAGTATGTTCATTAGACAGGGATCCCAGACTTTAGTTTGCATCACAAATCCACAGTGCTGGGGTAGAGCCCACTGAGGCACCTATGAAATAAAAAGGGCGCCAACACTTGGCCCAAGATGACTGTCATGCACATGGTCTACGGGTCCCTGGGAGGAACAATACTCCTGGAGTCCACCCTATTTCCTCCCTAAATCTAGAGTGCTCCTAAGACATTTTCTGCCTCAAATTACTTTCTTTTCAACCCCTCCAGGAAACTCATTGCCTCCTAGGGAACAGGAACCAACCACTGAAACAAAGTCGGGTTACACAAATATGCAGTGCAAAGACACTGAAGATTAAAGAACTGACCTGCTTCTTCTGGTATTTGTTTATCAGATTCAAAAACAAGGCATAACATCTGGAACAGTTGGCCAATGCTGTACAGCAGTTACGGTAAGATGTTAGTTTGCTGCAGAAATGCCAAATAGGAAAGCAAAAATAAACTTTATTTTTCTGTCAGATTCTTAAAATTAAAAAAAAATTTTTATTAACACGTTTGTAGCACATAATGATCACATTTGCCATGGAGAGCTGGTACATGGGCATAACACTTCTTAATTCTTTTTATGTCCCCCATCCCATCTCTTGGTCCTTTTCTCATTCTTTAAAATCCAGGTAAATACGATATGATTTTAAATGTGGTTCTTCAAAGTACTGCCCAGTTAATAAGAAAGAGTCATGAAATGCTTTTTGAGCCAGTCTGGAGAAGCTATAAAGAGGCTTGCTGTCTGCTCTAGATTCTGGGGGGAATGGATCAGGGCAAGTTAGAAGGTCCTGTGAAAAACAGAAGCCTGTAGACTCTATATGACATGAATTCACACTCTCCCATGGGGTTCAGAAATGCAAGTTAAGAAATTTACACAACAGCTGGTTGGATTGCAGTGAATTCCTTGGTACTATATCAGAAGCAAATGTAAAATTGCTCTAGTGTACTAGGTCAGCAGTGCTATCCTAACATCAAGAAAAATAGGCCTTAAGGCAAAAATCCTTGAAAATATCTTCAAATTTTCAAAGCAAACAAAACCCACAAGGCAATACTGAGAAGCTCACATCAAATTGTGAGATGCTCATAAATTTCTTATTAATCAACAGATCAATAGGTAAAGCATCATTAATTTTTTTTTTTAAATTTGACTATGCACCAGGCTATTCACAAGCTTCAATAATTCTCAGAAAACTAGTATCTTGTATGCTATATTCTCTGGTCAAAATACAGCACAGCACAGTGGTGCCCACTTGTATTCTTAGCACTTGGGAGGCTGAGGCAGGAAGATTTCTGGAGCCCCTCTTTTCTGAGATCAGCCTAGACAATATAGCAAGATCTCATCTCAAAAAATTGCACTTTAATTAGAAGCCAATTTTAAGAGTTTATTTTAAAATATACTGTTAGAAATTTAAAACCACATATCTCATGGGTCAAAGAAATAAAATCTAAAAACGTTTGGATCTCAATAACAAATACTATAAATTAAAACTTATAAGATGCAGCTAAAGCAGTATTTAGAGGTAAATGTATAGCCTTAAGAAGATCATAAAGAAAGAAATTTTTCAAGAGCAAAAGGAATAAAACAGAAAACAAACATGCAATGAAGTGGATCAATCAATCCTTCAACCCTTTTCAAAAACTAGTAAGACGGGCAAACCTTTGGCAAGACTCATCTAGAAAAAAAGAGAAACATCATAAATAATCACAATTGGGAATGACAATCAATGCTGACAATAAAAGACAGTTAACCTAATGTGATGGTTCAAAGCATTCCAGAGCCAGAACAACTGGCGTGAGCAGCAGAGCTCCACAGCTCACTGTGTTGCTCTCAGGGAAACTGCTGCACTGCTCCTTGCCTCGGTCTCCTCACACAGCAAATGAACATGGTGATGATGGCACCTGTCTTCAAAAGGTATTGCAAGAGTTAGATGCATCCGTATTTAGAAAGTACTCAGAATATTGCCCAGCATGTAGCAAGTACCATATGAGCATTTGTTAAATAAGTAAAATAAATAAATGGGAATCTGATTAGAGATGGGACAGAGATTAAAGGGATAATACATAGAAGAACATTGGAAGCAATTTAATTTTGTTTTAAAACTTAGAAAAATGGACAAATTCCTACGAAAATACAACTTTTTGAAATGGAATCAAATAGAAATAAGAGATATGACTAGATATATAACCATTAAAGGAACTGAACCAGTGAGGCATGGTGGCACATGCCTGTGGTCTAGCTACTTCTGAGGCAGGAGGACTGTTTGAGCTCAGGAGTTCAAGATCAGTTTGGATAACATCGTGAGACCCTATCTGTGAAAGAGACAGAGACAGAGACAGAGATAGAGACAGAGAGAGAGAGAGAGAGAGAGATAACTAGAGGGATTGAACTGTGAACAATACACATACACACAAACACACACACACGTTAAAAACAGCTTTTGAGCAAGCTCTCCAAACTTTTCAAGACACAGATTTAATTTTCACAAATTCTAGAAAAGACAAAAAGTTGAAATATACTCAACTCATTTTATGAGGCTGGTATAAACTTAACACTAAAACCAAACAAGGACAATACAAGAAAGGAAAAGAAAAGGTCAATCTACCTCATGACCATAGGTGAAACATCCTAAACAAAATATTAGTTAAACAAACCCAGCGATATGAACATGAGAAAATCTATTAATGTAATTTAACAGATTAATGGGTTGAAAAAGTAAATCCACACAATCAGAATGGATTCAGGGCAAGCATTTGAGATAACATTGCCTAATGGAAAGAAATCCCTTCATAACCTTCTAAAAGGTATCTGCAAAAACATACAATAAATATTATTTTTAACTGGTGAAACCATAAAAATACAGATAATTCCTTTAAAGTCAGGAGACAGGTAGCAGACCTACCTATCCACGATTTTGTATTGGACTCCTAAGTAATGTGATAGACTGGAAATGAGGCTAGGGGTGGGACAAGAGTTACAATAATTGGGGGTAATTATTCTTATTTGCATACAATTTACATAAAAAATCCAAGAGAACCTATGAACTCTTTAGACCAAATGCCCATCAAGATTCTTGGGTACAAGCTGGCTATTAATATATATCAGCAACAATCTATGAGAAAATAACTATTTAAAAGATTGCCTTCATAATGGCCATGAAGAACCTAGGAATACATCTAGAAAAAATGGGCAAAATCTTTACGGAGAAAATTATACAATTGTAGTGAAGGACATAAAGATGTTCTAAACACATGGTGAAAAGACCTGTGTCATAAAGTTGCCAATTCTCCCCATTCCAACCCCAGTTCCTATCACAGACTTAGCCGATTCTCTAATTCACAAGGAAAAGAAAAGAACAAAAGTCTGGATTTTAAAGGACAAAAAAGTGAGAGATTCATCTTATAGCAAGATTGTAATTAAATCTGTCACAGGAAAAAAGAAAAGTGATACCAGTCTAAAAACAGACCAAACAGAATGCCTAGCAACAGGTCTCCAAGCATTTGGAAATGCAGGTGTGAGTGACAAAGTCTGTGACAAAAGGTTGGCATATTCAGAAATGACATTGAGACAACTGACTATCCACGGTGAAAAAAGCTATGTTGGACACTTACACACCGCCTTCCACAAAAATAAACACAAACTTAACAGTGGTTCAAAATGGGAGTCAAGACCCAAAATATAGCTCAGGAAAGCATGGTGCTAAAACATCAAGACTGGACTTGTGCCCTTCACATAGGGTCAATTACCAATTCAGTCTTCAGGAAATTTTGTACACTATTTATTTGAACAACTACAATATTATAGTTCAAGAAAGGGCCAGGGTCCAGGCATGGTGCCACAGGCCTCCAATCCCAGCACTCTGGGAAGCTGAGGAGGATTGCAAATCCCAGCCTAGCCTGGGCAAGTCTGTGAGTTGGTGAGATCCTGTCTCAAAATTAAAAATTAAAAAATGGGCTGAGGATAGAGCTCAGTGTGGAGCCCTTGGGTCCAATCCTCGGAACAACAACAACAACAACAAAAACAGGCCCAGGTGTCTTGAGGAGAAGGGTCATAATGCAAAAATGCTGACAAAGAGCCAGGGGGAAAATACAAATTAAAGACTTCACTGAAATTTAACAACATCTAGCTTTGAGGCAACTGGATTCAAATGGTCACCACAAGAGAATGTGTGATCTGACCTTCAAAAAAGGCCAAAATAGAATAACCTTGGATTAAAACTAAATCAGATCAGACCTCTAAACAATGATCTGCTTTTTGAATTAAAACTCTTGGGCCGGGGATTTAGCTCAGTGGTTTCGCCACCTGCTGCGCAAGTACAAGGACCTGAGTTTGATCCTTAGTACCAAAACAAAAACAAAAACAAAAAAACCCTCTTAAGTATTGTTTCCAAGTATACCAGAAAGTTTGTCATGTCCCATGGTATATAGTCCTTTGTTGGCAGAGAACTGAAAAGATTTAAACAAACAAAAATATTAGGATAGCTCATAACTGACCAAAGAACTAACATGACTTTTATAGTTGCTGAGTTTAAAGTTGCATTACAATCACATGGGAAGTGGAATTCATTTACATCATGTATTTTAAACTTGGGGCACTAGATTTGCCTTTTTTGCTAGGTGAAGGAAAAAGCAAAAAAAATCTGTCCCAGACACACACACACACACACACACACACACACACACCCCAAATAACCCAGGCATTAGCATTTTTGCACGGCTGCTTCACTTTTTTAGTCCACTTACCTGAATATTCTGGCAATATTGGTACAGACGTCCTTGTCATCCACATACAGTTCTGTCACTGTGCAGAGCTGGGGAAGGGTGTCGACACTCAGGCACTGACTCCTTGCTTGTGGTGAATCGACCAAGTTTCTCAAAGTAGCAGTTATCTGGAATAAAAGCATGTTTGTGCAGTTATTAAACACTAGAAAATAGAGCCACACTAAGCATGTGACACAATTCATCCTATAAATTTCATTACAGCACCAGGTAAACAAAGTCCCTATGATGATTCTTCCACTACAGAACATGGGCCTATGCACAAGTAGCATGAAATGAAAACAAAGAAAGACTAACATCGTTCAAAGGCAAAGAATGGAATAATGATAGGCAATTAGTGTATGAGAATTCAGGATTAAACAAATTATCATCTGGGTTTGAGAACAGTCATAAGCTCTTCAATTGACTGTGTGATAACCACATCAGTTCCACAGATTTGAAACTTCTTCCTCTACCATCCTGGTAAGTAGCATGAGATAATGATGTGGCCAAAGAATTTTTAAGGCTATAGACTTATTCTCTTCTAAGAGGCAAGCTTTCCACTTGACCATGGATCCATAGTGTAGTCTTCTTAGCTAAGGAACAGGCCTTTTGTGAAGACAGTTCTAGTGAAACAGTTCTAGGAAATCCAGGCCATCATTGCCATCAAATGGAAAATTTGCATCATCTGACCCAGGTCCGCCCGTTCTTCTTCTGAGACAGCCCAGGCACTTGGGCATTACTGGTTTACCCTCAACCCAAAGAATGACTCACACACTTTCCTCAATGGAGCCCAAAGTGCACAGATGCTCAAGTGAGTCCTGACGTGAATCCAGGCAGGTGGAAACCTGATGGATCGTGGAGCACTCATTCCGACCCCAAGCACATGAACAGTTTATTTTCCCTGGTTCCAAGGGCTTCAAAGATTGGACTCCCCAATCTACAGTCATCTCCTTGCTCCCCTCATCTAACATCCAGCAAGGGACCTTGTCTGCAGAAGAAACCATCGTTTTCCCATGAGCTTTTATTTACTTGTTTCAACCTTAAATGTTTTCTCTCTCTTGAGCCCTTTTCTCACCCCCTTCAAAAAGGTTAAGACAGCTTGAGGATCTTCTGTCCCTAATATATTAGTTTTATTAATGGCTCAGATCAGGAGCAGAAGCATACACTGACACGTTATGTACCATCTGATTTTAATCCTCATCCATTCACTGCACATAGCACACTATACAGAGTGCAAGGAACTTAGTGAGGAAGACACGATACCTGGAACATTTCTAGACTTATCAGTTGTGGTGCTGGTAGGAAAAACCTGCATGAAACTTATATATACCACATATTGGAAAAGTACCTAGTAATACCTTAATCAATGACACTGCTATTAACCTAAGTGCTCAAGGACCCAAAGTCCTAGAATCCTGCATTTCTGCTTTCCATCACCTGAAGCCCTGCTGGCTTTTTAATCCATTGCTTCCAAGGTAAGATTCAGTGCCCTGACCACAGGCCAGGGGGCCTCTTGTGGTTGAGTTCTCACCAAGCCCTCAAGCTTAATCTCCACACCCACACTGCTTAGCATCAGTCTTGCTGTTCCTCCAGGCCCCAGCTTCAGTGAGGCATGAGCAGGAGGCCGTTGTCCATCTTGCTCATCTTTTCACCACCGTGCCAAGTCCAAGACCAGTGCCTGGCTTGAACATCCCCAGAGGGAAGAGTGTCTCGAACAGAAAGGTGAGAACGTCAGAAAGCCTCGAGTTAAGCAGACAGTATCTCTGAGGCACAGAGAATGTGAGGGGATTTTAGGAGCAGAGTAGTTTTTGAAAGTACTGTGAGAAAGAAAAATGGACTTCCTGAAAGGAGTGGCTGTCTGTGTACTAGCTCCCTATTGATCTCATTGGAGGCAGCAGCTCCCTCCCAGGCTCCGAGACTGCCTCACCTCCTCCCTCTCCACACCTGACTGGGCACCTGCTCCACTTCTCCATCACGAGGTCCCTGCAGCTTCGTCTCTGACCCAAGCTCTCTGGCACCCTGAGCGGGCTCCTTCTTTGGTCTCTGCAGGTCCAGCTCATCTCCCCACAGGTCTCGGCTCAGAAGCCCTCCTCCGAGGTCCCAGGCCCAGTGGGCAGCAACCACACCCTAAAGGCTCTTCACTCTCTGGAGCACACTCTACCCTTCCAGCTCACCTCCTCTCGCTTCCCTCCACCTACCCTTCCTTCTGACTCCACACCACACAACCCCCTCATCCTTTCACAGTGCCACACCTCTGGAGGGCTCCTCCACTCCGACATCCTCCTGGATTGTGATCCTCCTGTCCTTCCTACTGGTCACCCCTGTTCAGTCCTCAGTACCCTGTCAGGCTCACTGCTCCTCTGGGAGACTGCTCAGAAGGTGGTCAAGCACTTCCTCTTCTGTGTCAACAAGCACCGCTCCTGCCCCTGCTGCCCCATCACAGAGTCAAGTGTTTCATGGACTTTATCCCCCACGCTGGGCTTCTCTAGTGCACAAACTCTCATTCTTTCTACATACAAGTCAATCAAATGTGCAAATAAAAAGCTCTTCAGACATTCAGTTGCTGGCTGGCTGGGTGGGTGAAACTCAGGAGGAGGAGGGGGAAGAAGGAAAGGAGAATGGAGAGGGGAAGCTTCCCCTTAAAGCCTCTGGCAAGAAAGTTCAGGAGATTAACAGAGGCCTGGGTGGACCAGAGTTTAAAGCCCTGAGGGAGAAGTGTCTAGAAGGGGCCCCTGAGCAGATGCTGCCCTGAAGGCCCCCCACTTTGAGGGCTGCCCCCACTCTCAGGGCCAGGTGGGGGTGGTACGCTGCTTGCTCAAATCAGTGGCTTTTTCTGGGGAAGAAAAAATGTAGAAAAATGGGTGGGAAGAGAGTCTAGCTACAAAGCATTGTAACAGCAAAGGCAAGTTCCAGGTTGGTCCACTTAACTCTGAGCTTTGTTTCAAATGTTGAGCTCATTGTATATAAGTGAAAATTTAAAATCCAATACAACTCCTAGTTGAATAGAGGTAACTTTGAGATCACTAATGAGTCCTGCAGGAGCAGTCTGCAGCCTTTGTCCTCCCCACCCCCAGGAGAGCCACCCATTTGGCCTGCTCCCAAGGCAGAAGTTCACCCAAGTCCAAGTTTATTGAATCAATATAGTTTCTTAACTTTCCACTCTAATCTATATTCTTCCTAATTCTACTTACATGAATTTCTTTTTATTGTACATAATATTTTAAGCAACCTCAAATCCTTTACTTAAGAAAAGCATACGTTAAATGAACATACAGATACTTGTTCAGTTTTTAAAGGACTCCCAACCTCAGGAGTATCATTTCACCAAAAAATACCAAACTGAAAAACATGAGTTTTGATTCTTGCTTTTCCCACCTCCTAATCTGCATCTGTGTGGGACACACATGTGGAGACAGAAGGCAACTAGTAGGAAGAAGGAAGAAAGGCAAAATACAATTGATAATCAACAGAGTGGATTAATAAAAATTTGAGCATCCCCACTTATCAGCAGTTGTGAGATGATCTTTGGGACAAAAAAGCATGTAAATTTTTGGTAGTATAGTCAAGGAAGAAACATTCCATTATGATTCTGGCTACTAATTTGCTGAAATATGGCTGAGCCAAGCTCATTTTTTCTTAGGCAGCCATTTCTTTGTTCTCTACTTTCCTAATGATAAGAGGCACCTTCCTCAATCAGCTAAGATACCCTGCGAATCTGGCATAGCTGCCTATCTTGTATTGAATGAGTTGAGCCTTGAAGTTCTTGTTGTGACATCAACATTGGGAGGGCCATTTTATTTATTTATTTGCTTGTTTGCCTTTGAGATATGACCTCACTATGTTGCTCAGGCTGGCCTCAAATTCTTGAGCCTCCTGAGTGCTGGGATTATAGGTGTACACCACCTTGCCCAGTGGGAGATCCATTTTAGAATCGAATCTTTTTTTTTTGGACTGGGGATCGAATTTGGGTCCTTGAGCCTGCGCAGCAGGCAGCGAAACCACTGAGCTAAATCCCTAGCCGGGGAGATCCATTTTAAAGGGAAAAATTACTCTAAGTAGAGATCGTACAATTTATAAAGGCTCAAGCAGCATTTTAATACAGTAAAATTAGAACCCCAAAGAGTTAGCATCTATTTTTTTTTCCAAATTGAGTATTGGTACTTAATTATGAATTTTAAATTGTGTTTTCAACTACAAATTAATTGAAAAACTTGAGTAAACACAAGAAAACTTTGTTTTAAAATCTGTGTACCCTGACTTGGGTCACAACACAGGCCTGGCAGCTGTGGCCCTATTCCCAACATCCCCTGCTGCTGTGGGTGGGGGCAAGACAGAGAAGGTCATGGAGTAAACCTCAGTCTCCACATTTGGCCATTTCCAGAGTGGGTGACCCTCTCTTCCCTTTGCACTCTTTCTCCCTTCAAGCCTCAGTCCCCAGGGGACTCGCTGAATTGCCGAATTCTGCCCTAGATGGCAACCAGCCATCAGTGCTATCCCAGAGCAGGGTGGCTTGTGGTTCACCACGGAACTCTTGCTCAGGTGCAGCAGAAGTTACACAGGCTTTCCAGCCAGCCCAGAAGCGTCACCATCCACCGTGACACTGTTGTCTGGAGAATCAATTCTCCAATTCTGAAAAGATTTCAAAGAAACCCCTGGAACATAATGCAATTGAAAACTGCACCATTAACAGTCTGGAAATTATCCTTCTTCAACCCAAACCAGCATTAAGATTTAGTTTTATTTATTTGTATATATCAAGTACAACTATGTTGATATACTGAGCAGTTGCTTGCTGGGATATAAAGCTATCTCATGAGCTATATTTCATTTGCTTCCTAAGGCAACTCCAAGAGGCAGACAGGAAAGGTATTAATGTACCCTAGATGAGGAAACTGAGGCTCAGGAAGTCTACCAGCTTCTAAGTTAGTTGGTGCCCTGGGCTTCTGGTTCCTTGTCTGTTGCTTCCCCCATTGTATTTGGCATTTATCTGTAAATGCATGGATTTTATTTCTCAATTGTCTGACATGTCCAAAACCCAAATGCCCTGAGCTTTATCTCAACTTAACTGCCAAGTGCAAAATGGTTCACTTCCCACTGATGATGTGAAAGAATACAGCCGCGAGAGACT